CCATTCGACTGCCCCTACCGAAAATGTGGCAGACCCATTCCGCACAACTGCATATTCAACCCTCGGAGAGTTGTAACACGATCGGCTGACACCATATTTGATGATTCCAACGCTCTGCCCACCATATTTGATGATTCCAACGCTGTGCTTGGATGCCCACGGGACAAAATGTCCCAGAAAGCTGGGATTACGATCGGTCATTCATTCACATCTCTGATGACCATCGTGAGAGACTGACTACCTACCAGACTACCCCAACCCAACCCAAAGACCCGAATTTCGGGTTGGGGGGACAAGGGTTCCACATGTGTGTTTGTTCGATGCTTCCCGACCCCCACACACACACACACACACACACACACTGGAAATCGAGGGTAAATCTGAGCCTTCGGGTTGGGTTGGGGTGGTTTGGTGGGTGGTGAGAGACGTGCACTCTCATCACGAGACCCATGCGTAATGAACGAGAGCAGAGATAATGGCATCAGCAGCACAGAAAGCTTTCGAGGTTGCAGGCACAGTGCGTGCGCAGGAATCACATGCTGACTCACATATATAAAGTATACGATAATAAACAAATATAGATATATACATATATATATATGTATATATATGTACATACATATGTATATATATATATATATATATATATATATATATGTATTCTCATACGCACCTCTCCGAGGGAGTAGAGCTCAGAGGCGATTAATGCGCACGCGTCCGCGATTGTTCTGGGCGTTTCGCTCGGGACATCCTCGAAATTCTGAAAATCGGTGGCACCCCTCACGCAGATCGCGACGTCAGGGTCCAAAAACACATGGGAAATTCAACATGTTAACATAAAACCTTCAAAAACACATGGTAATTTCAATAATTGTGACCCCGATTCTCAGTGAATGGCGGTTTCGCTTGAGAAATCCTTCCAAAATCAAGCCTCAGACCCCGCCTCGGAGCCTCCTGGGGGCCTCCTGGAACCTCCTGGGGCCTCCTGGGCCTTCTGAACCTTCTGGCACCCCAGACCCCGCCTCGGAGCCTCCTGGGGGTGTCCTGAAACCTCCTGGGGCCTCCTGGGGCCTCCTGCGGCCTCCTGGAGCCTCTTGGGGCCTCCTGAAGCCTCCTGGGGTCTCCTGGGGCCTCCTGAGGCCGCCTGGGGCTTCCTGGGGCCTCCTGGGGCTTCAGAACTACATGCACACAGAGACACAAATCACGCCCAACACATCACACGCTAGACAAACATAACACACACACACACACACACACACAACACCTACAACACACAAAAAGCACGCACCACACGAAGCATACATCACAAACACACACACACACACACACACACACACACACACACGCACAACACTCACAATCCTGGGGCCTCCTGGAGCCTCTTCTGGTATCCAAGTCGGGCCTCCTAAGGCTTCCTGGGGGCCCTGGTACACACATCGCAAGGTGTGGCAACCCCACTTGCGCTCGAGTGCGACTTCGATGTTGCATTTCACTCCTGCTTCAAACGCCCCTTCAGTTTTTTTTTGTATGAGCCTGGGCACACACACGTGCCACTTGTATATATATATATATATATATATAGATCCCGGCCCCCTTGTGGGGCAACCAGGCTGTAGGGCTAAGGTTCGCAGTTTCCTGTACCAGTTGCAGCTTCCAGTTTCCACTGTTACAGTTCTGCTTCTTGCTGCTTTCTGCTCCTTGTTTACTTCTTGCTGCTTACTGCTCCTTGTTGATGGACGGCGCGAGGGGGGAAGGCCCAAAACGAGTATTTGTACCACGCCCAAAACGTATTGTCTGAATTGCTGTAGGTACAAATTACCACACCTCACGCAGATCGGCGGGGTCAGGGTCCAAAAACATATAATGGATGTGCCACACTTCTGAAATTCGGCGGCACCCCATCACGCAGATCCGTAGGGTCAGGGTTCAAAAAACACATGGGATTTGCCACATGTCTGAAATTCGGTGGCACCACTCATACAGATCGGCGGGGTCAGGGTCCAAAAACACAAGGGATTTGCCACATTTCTGAAATTCGGCTGCACCCCTCACGCAGATCGGCGGGGTCAGGGTCCAAAAACACAAGGGATTTGCCACATTTCTGAAATTTGCTTGCACCCCTGGCGCAGAGCGGCAGGGTCAGGGTCCAAAAACACAAGGAAGTTGCCATATGTTGGAAATTCGGTGACACCCATCACGCAGATCGACAGGGCCAGGGTCCAAAAACACAAGGGATTTGCCGCATTTCTGAAATTTGCTGGCTCCCCTCACACAGGTCGGCAGGGCCAGGGTCCAAAAACGCAAGGGATTTGCCACATTTCTGAAATTCGGCGGCACCCCTCAAGCAGATCCGTAGGGTCAGGGTCGAAAAACACAAGGGGACTTGCCACATTTCTGAAATTTGCTGGCACCCCTCAAGCAGATCCGCAGGGTCAGGGTCGAAAGACAAACAGGTCCCGACACTGCTTCACGGCGGCGCCCAGACCTCGTGATTTAGCTTTTGCATCTCCCATTCTCCGAGAGAGGGGGCCAGCGGCAGTGGGCGAAGCCCTTACGGATAATAATGAAAATAATAAAACTAATACGAATACTACTACCAATACTAATCGATAATAATACGAATACTAACAATAATCTTAATAATAAGTCTGATAATAATGATGATGATAATAAAAAATGACATTGGACATCAACATGTGGACGTCATTCCCACCGAAAACGGGGCAAGCTCTGCCAAAACGGAGTGGACCCTCGGCACGCTCCTCGGGTGACAGCGCAAGAAAGGGATAAGAATTGCCCACGAGACCACAACAAGCTCCAGAGAATTGAGACTACGTACGATAGATCACTCGTGCACCTACAAGATGACCTTCGCGATGAACGCGCAGTCTCATCACAAGACAAACGACGACTGAACAAGCCAATGGTATCGACAAGCAGGCGCTTGAGTAAAAACTGAGCGGGAATCGCACACGAATTGCATGACTGGCACAGCCGAACACCACCAGGCAGCAACGACGAAAACCCTCACAAGGGCACGGCACCTGCACCCCCACGACGCATCTTGCAACCTCCTCCCGAGACTAACGCGAACTGCACCTATCAATGACGGCGACTGGCGGGTGTTCGCACGGCTGATGTGCTTTTTTGTCTCGGCCCGCGGCGCCAGAGATTCCGACCGCTTTCCCTGAGGCATTTTGTTGTCCATGGTGTAGTTTTAAGCCGGGCAGATGTCCCTCTACAGGAGGAATACTCAAAAATGGTCAGAAAAATGATATGAGGACGATGCTTACAACTTTTGGCAATTCTTGATAATTGATTGGCTATTCTCTATCTGTCTTCCAAAATCCGCCTGTAGGAGGACATGCCCGACCTAAGTCTAGCTATGATGGCCACGGGGCACGCAAAAGAGCCCCACGACACAACGTCGAGGAAGCACGCCGGCTGAAAAAAACACAGGTCGTCGGAGGTCTGGCGACTCGGGCCTCCAATGTCGCAAGTCGAACTTCCGAACTGGTGGGCTGGGGTTAGGTCGTGCACGTCCCCCTACAGGGGATCTTGGGCGGAGAATACAGCATAGTCAAAAAATATTCCAAAATAGTCCAACATGGTCCAAAAATCGCCCCAACGGGAGATCCCAACGGACATCCCAACGGGAGCCCACCGGGGGGCCGCCAAGGAACGGATCGGGACGAAGCGTGGGTCCCGGAAAATACGATAACAGCAACGAGTGTCGAGCGCCGTGTCATGATTCGGACAAGCCTCGTGGAATGCAGTCCTGGAGGCGCAGTAGTTTATAGAGGGGTCGGCGGATGTGGCGTAAGCCCATAGAATCGTCCCCAGACCATTGCTCTTTCCTATTTCTGAACCTTCCTCCCGTAGAAGGACGGGCCCGACTGCAGGCTGGGAGCTCAAGCGGATCCCGAGACGCCCCACCAGCCCTTCGGGGCGGCGCCCGGGAGAAGTCGCTCCGAGCTCCTCGAGGGCCGGCGCCCAGGCCCCGCACCTGGGCGGGCCGCCGGGTGTCCAGGGCTCCTCGCTTTTCTATCTAGTTTTATGTCGGGCCTGTCCCCCTACAGGGGGGTTTTCGACGAACAATAAAAAATATTCAAACAATACCCCAAAATAGTAACAAAAAAAATTAAAAAATTATCAAAAAGTAGTCCCCAAACTATTTTTGGAACATGTTTGGACCATTTTTAAGGTATTCTTAATTTTTCGTCGAAAATCCCCCACGCCCGACATAAAATTAGTTGGCACCGCGCAGAGGGTGGTAGTCTTAGGTCGGGCATGTCCCCCTGCAGGCGGATTCTGGAGGGAAAACTCAAAAGAGTCCCCCAACAAAAATATAAGCAACCAACAAAAAAAGGTGGTCACAAGAATCGTCCCCAGACTATTTTGCTGACTGTTTTTGAATACTTCTTCTGTACAGGGACACGCCCGACTGAACACTTGGGCGGGCCGCCAGGTGTCCAGGGCTCCTCGCTCGGATCTAACTGGCGTCGCGCAGAGTGGGGCAGTGGGAGGGGGGAAGGCTCCTTAACAGGAGGTTGTTTCTAGGAAGGCGCCGATTTGGAATCTGCAGACACGGCCCGCGCACTTTGAGAAGCAGGGGTGCTTCTAAAAAGCCTTCCCCCTCCCCCATACCCCCCTCTGCGCGTGGCTGCACACAAGCCGAATATGCCGATCGACACACGCAGGGCCGCCTCCAAGATCGGCCCCGCAAGGACCACCACTTCCCCGCACGGAGGACAGTCGTTTCACCTTCTGTCACGTCTGGAGAACCTGTGACGTGGTTCTGGGAGCGCCATCCGTGGCGCAGCGGCATCGGGATGTGCGCGGGTGGTGCAGCGAGGTGCCCTGGAGGAGGGAACGGAAGAGGGGGAAGGGGAGAGGGAGGGAGGAGCGAGGACGACCAAGGGAACAGAGAAGCAGGCGAAGGGACAGGAGGAAGCGAACAAAGAGGAGTGTGAAGGACGACGAAGAAAACAAAGAGGAGCAGGCGAAGGAAAAGGAGGGGGGAAAGGCCCGAGAAACTGCTGTGGCCCAGAGAGGCGCGGCATCTTGCGAGAGCGGGCCCGCGTTTTCGCCGCGGGCCCCGCAGCACCGGCCGCTCATGCCCCCTGCGCTCGACGGTCCCGCAACTTTTCGCGGGCGACTCGCGATGAGCGACTGCCAGGAGCCGAAGGGGCCCTCAAAGAAGCGCATCCTGGACCCTGACAGGCGATGTAAGACGAAGCCAGAACGAAGACAACATCGGACGAGGATAAAAATCAATGATATCTGAGATCCGGCTGCTCTGGAGGATGTATCGGGCGCCGCGGCATTGTCCGAGCGCCCCGAAGGCTCTTGAACGGATCTACGTATCCTCGTCCTGGCCCCAGACATGCGACGTCCTGACGTCTTCGATCCGGCGCCCCTGAAGCCCCGACCCCTTCCCCAGGACCGGGTCTTCGTCCGGAGTCGTCTCTCGACGGTCCCGAGGCCCGGCGAGGGCCCGCCGACGCCGAAAACAGTCAAAGACCTCCCGTGCCGACTTCTCTACGACGCGATCCTGCCTGGGGCCCCGTCCGACGAGCGGCTCCGCAGGACGGCCCAGGGGGCTCGGGGCGGCGCTACAGTGCGGGCGCGGCCGCAAGAAACCCTCGCAAGGAAGCCAACCCTCAGAACACGTGCAGCAGATCCTTCAACGGCTGCGGAAAGTCATCGCGAAGCGCGAGGAGCAAAGGAACCCAGGGTACCCTGACGAAAAGAAGACGGTTTCTCGATGCGCTCCCCCACTGCAGACCTTCAGGGCCCCCGTGGGTTCCCGAGAACGAACGACGAGCGGCCGCCGGGCCGCAGAGCGGCGGCGGCGGCGGCGGGGCGGTGGAGCGCACGCTTTCGTGGACTCCTCCTCCTCCTCCTCCTCCTCCGCCTCCTCCTCCTCCTCCTCCTCCTCCTGCTCCTCCTCTCAGCGATCGCCATCGCTACCTCCTCCTCCTCCTCCTCCTCCTCCTCCTCCTCCTCCTCCTCCTCCTCCTCCTCCTCCTCCTCCTCCCTCCTCTTCTTCCTCCTCCTCCTCCTCCTCCTCCTCCTCCTCCTCCTCCTCCTCTCAGCGATCGCCATCGCTACCTCCCCCATCCCCTCCTCCACGCCCAAGCGTGGGCACCAGATCCGTGGATCGGGGAAGGTACAGTCGGACCTAGGACAGAAGAACATCCTTCAACAACATGCGACCCTCCGCTGGCCAAAACACACGCAGAACATGCAAGGGTACCCTCCCCAGGATGCACAAGAGCATCTAACAAGCACGAAGGGAACATTAGGGCACCCTCCCCGAACCGACCTCGATCTTACACCTCGGTCCAATTGTACCCCCAGCTCATGGGGCCAATGCCGCATCATGAGAGCGACAGAAAGAAGAGCGACCTCACGCAGTGGCGTACGCGGGCCGTCGGCGCGGCACGCTGCACTGGAGACGAAGGCGCTCACGCACGACAATGCGCGGGGAGCTCACGCGTGAATGTGTCGGCGCAGCCGAGCCCGTCTTTTGTTGCGTCACTCGCGTGGGGCCGGTGCCGCATCATGTGGCGACAACTCGCGCCGGTGCTGCACTTGGCGGCGAGCGAGGGGGGGAAATGAGAAGGAGAACGCCTTCTCGGAAGGCGGCGGGACGTCTCAAAGCCCTCGGGCCTTCTGAGAAGCTGTTTCTGCCTGCGGGGAAAGCCTGGGAAACTTCTCAGATAAGGCCGGGGGACTTCCGAACCTTCTGAGAAGGCCTTCTCCTTCTCGCTTCCCCTCTCGCTCGCCGCCGATGCATTCAAGCGGGACGCGTCGCGAATCCACGCGCCTGAGTCCACGTGAGCGCGTACCCTGGAGGCGGGCCAGAGGGCGACGGCGCCCTGCGGGAGGCGACCCCTGGACGATCCCAGCGGCTCGCTGTGGTTAAGCGGGCAGGTTGGGTTGAGATCCTTCTGGCATCGCTTGAACTGCTTCGGAGTGGTGACTGCGTATTGCCACTGCGGCGTGCGAGTCGCCCCCCTCACCGGCAGTAATTTCCCGGAGGGCCGAGATGCTCGATCCGTCAAAACAGGGGGCTGGATCCGCCGAAGCGCAGATCGGAATCGCCATCCAGCTGGGAAATCAGATTCAATTGCTGGTTGCTCGGCTCCGGTCTGGCAGGACGAAGAGGAGGAGGAGGAGGAGGAGGAGGAGAAAGAAGGAGGAGGAGGGAGCAGGAGGGAGGAGGACGAAGGAGGAGGAGGAGGAGGAGGAGAAGGAAAACGAGGAGGAGTGAAAGGGGGGGGGAGGAGGACGGAGGAGGCGGAGGAGGAAGAGGAGGAGGAGGGGGGAGGGGGAGGAGGGAGGGGGAGGAAGAGTCTGGATACCATCAGCTACACAAGCTTGATACCATCAGAACTTACAACACTGGACCCACCGAGGCTCTCGAAAATCGAATCATCGAATAGCCGAATCACAACGCCAACCAGCTCGCGAATATTGTCGACCTGTTGGCGGTCGATGTCGATCGGGCGAATTAATATAGCCAAGACGTTGGCGTCTACTCAAACACATACTCTAGATCCGCGGGAGCAATGACACTGAAATCACCGAAAAGTTGATCACAGCACATTCCAACCCCAAACAATGTCTGGAACAAATCATGGCTTTCCTCCGTTGAATGTGACTGGTGCTGGAACGCAATACGCAAAACGGGAATCATAGAAAACTACCCGAGGGTGCGCCGCTGGATGTTCCCAGGGGGGGGACCCCCCCTTGCCCGATCCGTCGTCCCCCTTTCCCGATCCGTCGTCGGGGACCCCCCCCCCGCCCCCCCTTTCCCGATCCGTCGTCGGGGACCCCCCCCCTCCCCCCTTTCAAGAGGGTGAGGGGGGTCCGAACACCCCCCCCCTTCCCCCCTTTTGGCCGCCAAATTCGAACACCCCCCTCTACTCCCCTTTCGCCACGGCGCCCCCGGGTTCCGGAACCCGACCCCGTACCACCCCTAACATTAAATCACTGCTCCCTATTAGTATATATACACACACACACACACCAGGCGACTGGGAACCAACCACGGACAATGCGGCCCCCCCCCCATACCATCCCTTGTAAAGAACAATACAAACACACACACACACACACACACACACACACACTCTGTCTCCAAATCCCACCAGCCCTCTGGGCGTCGGTGGTTTAGAGCGTTTCCTCTTCCACCCCTCCTTCTTCCCCTTCGGGGAGGGGTTTACCCCTCCCTCTACCCCCTCCCCACTGACCTGGACAGGGGGGGCCGCGGGTAGTTAGAGCGTCCAAGAACGACCCCTGGGAGGGCTAAAATTCGACACCCCTCACGAGGATCGTGCCCCCCAGGGGGGCGACGCTAAAAAATGTTTCCCCCTTCTGCGACCGATGTCCTCAAAGAGGGCCTCAAGAGACGTCTCGGACTCTCCTCTTGCGCTCTGCGCGCGGGCGGGCGGAGCGCCGCCCGCCCGCCCGCGAGGCCCAAGAGCCCACCAAAACGTTCGAAGATACCTCCAAGACGCCACCAGGGAAGAGGAAGAGGCGGAGGAGGAGGAGGAGGAGGAAGGGAGGAGGAGGAGAAGGCGGAGGAGAAGGAGGAAGAGGGGGAGGAGAACAGCTGCCGATCATCGGCGCTCTTCGTTCGAGTGCCTGGTGTAGGATGGGCTGGTGGGGATACGCGAGGCGTCAAGAATTCGGAGCATGCGCAGCGAACCCGATGCGGCATCCCCCACCATCCCTGTCAAAAAAACAATACAGAATACACTTGGCGGCGGCGGCGGCTGCGGCGGCTGCGGCGGGTGCAACGGCTGCGGCGGCTGCGGCGCTGGCGGCGGCGGTGGCGGCGGCGGCGGGGGCGGCGGCGGCGGCGGCGGCGGCGGCGGCGGCGGCGGCGGGCGGCGGCAGCGGTGGCGGCAGTGGCTGAGGCGGCAGCGGCTGCGGCGGCGGCGATTCGGCAGCGGGGGCGACGGCGGCGGCGGCGGCGGACGGCGGCGGCGGGCGGCGCGGCGGCGGCGGCGGCGGCGGCGCGGGCCGCGCGCGGCGGCGGCGGTGGACAGCGGCGGCGGCGGCGGCGGCGGCGGCGCGGCAGCGGCGACGGCGGGCGGCTGCGGCGGCGGCGGCGGATTCGGTCCCAGTAGCTGCCCATCCTAAGACGACTGCTGAATAAGCTGCGACTCGGGCCATGTTCGGGTGCTACCTATGTGCTGGGACGGCGGGTGGGAGTGAGCGAGGCGGCTCGCGGGCGGGGAGGGAGTCTTGTCTTCACCCTTACCTCCACCCCTAACCCTAACCCTAAACCCTAACCCTAGCCCCAAACCATACTCACTACTCATTACGCACGAATGACTATCCACTACTCACTACTCGCTACTCACTACTCACTTCTCACTACTCAAAATTCACAACTCACGACTCACTACTCACTACCCACTACTCACTACCCACTACTCACTACTCCCTACTCCCTACTCGCTACTCACTACTCACTACTAACTATTCACTACTCACTATCCACTACGCAATACGCACAACTCACTATAATCACCTCACTACCCACTGTTCAGTAATCGCAAATGGCTACTCACTACCCATTAACCACTATCCACTACTCGCTGCTCAAATTTCACTACTCACTACTCACTACTCACTACCCACAACTCACAACTCACTATCCACTACTCGCTACTCGCTTCTCCCAAATCCCTATTCAGTACCCACTACTCACTACTCACTACTTGCTACCCCCTACACCCGACTCGCTACCCAATACGCACCATTCACTACCCACTGCCAACTACTCAGTACGCCCCCACTACTCACTACTCACGACTCCCTACTCACTAATCCCAGCTCACTACTCACTACTCACTACTCGCTACCCAGTACTCAATACTCACTACTCACTGAACACGACTCGCTGCCAACTACTCACTACTCACTAAGCACTACTCACTACCCACTAACCACTGTCCACTACTCACTATTGAGCATTCACAATTCACTACTCACTACTTACTGCCCACGAATCAATAATCACTATCCGCTGCTCACTACTCGCTACTCCCTGCTCCCTACACAGTACTCACTGCTAACTACTCACTACGCACTACTCGCTACTCCCTACTCCCTACTCGCTACCCAATACGCAGTACTCACTACCCACTACGCAATACTCACTACTCACTACTCACTACCCCCATACCCCCTACTCCCTACTCACTAGTCACTATTCACAATCGCTACTCACTACTCACTATTCAGTACTCACTATTCACTACTCATTACTCACGACTCACTACTCATTACTCACTACTCACTACTCGCTACTCCCTACGCACTACCCACTACTCAATACCCACTTCTCACTTCTCACTTCTCACTACTCACTACTCACTACTCCCTACTCGCTACTCAATACTCACTACCCACTACTCACTACTCACTACTCGCTATTCCCTCCTCGCTACTCACACATGACAACTCCCTTCTCACTACTCACTACTCACAATGTCATACTCGCGATTCACTATTCACGACTCGCGCCTCCCTATTCGCTACTCACTACTCACTGCCCACTCCCGACTACACACGATTCACTACTGACTACTCACTACTCACTTCTCACTACTCATTGCGCACCACTCACTACTCACTCATCACTCCGCACTACTCGCTACTATCTAATCACTACTCACTACGCACTACTCACTACTCACTTCTTCTCTCCATCCACTACCCACTACTGACCATCCCGAGGCCAGACCCCCCCTCCCCTTGCGAGAGCCCCCCCCCCGGCACCGTGTTCGGCGCAAAGGGGGGGAGGGGGTTCGACCCGCATGTGGGCCCAATCCCAACCCACTGGGCCCAATCCCAACCAACTGGGCCCAATCCCAACCAGTGCGAAAAGCAA